ATTGAACAGCCTAGTCGTGCCAGCCTACACAGCACATGAGGGGCAGAGATTTACTCTGTGTGTTGCAACTTGCATATATTTATTGCACTTGGCGCACACACACACATGGCGTAATTTCCACTGGGTACAGGGGGGACATGTCCCCCGCTCTTTTCGAAATCCCGTTTGTGTCCCCCCACTTTACAAATATGTTTCTTATTTCTTCTTCTTCTTCTTCTTCTTCTTCTTCTTCTTCTTCTTCTTCTTCTTCTTCTTCTTCTTCTTCTTCTTCTTCTTCTTCTTCTTCTTCTTATTATTATTATTATTATTATTAAGCAGTCATAGTTGTAAAAAATAAAGTAAGAAATCATTCCAATGTGTACTATAGGAAAAAAAAACAGTTTAAAAGGGGAGTGATTAGTAAAATATGCATAAATAAGAAGAAAGAATGCTAACTAGGTAACATAAGAATAAACAAGTTTAAATCATTTGTTATTGGTTGTGATCATATTCTAAAGATGTTTGGATTATTGAAAAGTATACAGCTCCCTTTCATCTGAGTGTTGAGAGCTGTTTCAAACAGCTCTCAACACTCAGATGAAAGGGAGCTGTATACTTTTCAATAATCCAAACATCTTTAGAATATGATCACAACCAATAACAAATGATTTAAACTNACTTACATGGGGAAAGAGTGGTCTGTAAATCGTTGGATAATTTTTTTTAAACTAAATAAACCACCCAGTATGAACACTTGTATAGCCCTTATTAAAAACATTCGTTCCTCAAGTTGTAAAAGTGTGCTAATAACGTTATTCTGAGAGTTATTTCCCTCTGCATTATGAACGCGCATCTAACCCACGGGACCGCGCCGCCCGGCACGTTCATGTTACGTGTCCGACCAATCAGAGCACACTGTGCTCACAGGGAGGGTGGGGGCTGGAGCTATTGGAGCTACAACGAGCCATTAAAGGCAGAGAGTGAAATTCAGTGAATACACGTAGTTTACAGAGATGCTGTTTGAGAAACCAATGTGAGTTGCGTTTATCTTTACCCATGGATGCACAATAAGAACGGACCCATATCGTCTTACTGCCATCCCACGGAGCTGTAATAATGGATATATTGCACATGTTTGCTATAATTCATTATCATACTACATGGGCTGTATGATTAAATCTTGTACCGTAAATGTTGTATTAAATAAAGTTAATGTTACCGACGTTAGATTAACGTCCCTGTAGCTTCTTATTGCACTAAGAAGCTTATTGCACTGTGTGTATATATATATGTACATATATATACAGTGCAATAATTTTTTCATGCTAAATGAAGCTCTGTTGCTTGGATATCACTAGATCCTGTTAAAGCGTAATATAAGTACATAACGATTGATGTGCACATTAGCATAATTACTAGCTAGCCGCTAGCTGCTAACATTCCGCCTCGTTAATATCAAATCCATCATAATAACAAATCATTACCATGCTGTCATGAACGTGTGGTGCTGTTACGTGTACGCAAATTGACGTACTTGATGTGAACGAGCATTTTGGTTACAGTTGCGCATGCGCTATGAGCGCACATACGGGTACTTCTCAGGCATGCCGGGTAATCTGTGACGTTTCGCTCTCTCAAAAGTTGGGCCATTTTATCATCATGCGCCAGCAACTCTCAAAGGAATGAATGAGGCCCCGCCTCCCACGCTGTATCCAGTTCTTATTATACATCCATGGTTCTGTCATTTGGATAAGTAGACTAGTTGGACGCCATTTTGCGTCCCAGTTCTTTGAAAGCAAAATGAACATTTTGCTCCACAAACAAATTCAAACTGCAACAACAGAGCAGACACAGACCTCGTTGTGTAAAAATACCTCTTTTTTTTATTGAATTTCCATCATTACAATTGCACATAATCAGTTTGAGCAATCTAAAATATTTATAGAAATTAATTGAGCATCTTAATGAACAGTCATCAGTCTTTAGCAGAGGCTTTAGAGATGTGTAAATATACTGAGAACTTCACTTTCCATGGGGCAAGGAGCTGTAGCCACAGTTACCCTTCCCGAACCCCACCCGACAGCAACAAAATACCCTCTTCCACGTACAGTAGCATCTCTGGTAACAGATTACTGTGGCGAACTAGCCCGGATAACCCCGGTTAAAGAACACAACACCGCAACATCAGAAGTCACATACAGCTGTGTGTACCAGCAGTTTATCACCTGCGAGGAGAGACAGAAGCTCCAAGGCTTACGAGTCGTAGTATTCCAGAACGCTCCAAGCAAGAATAGTTGGGTAAAACAAAGTGTTCAAAAACCTCAGCACGGTTCATGCACAAACGACAGATTTACATAAAATATATCTTGGCAGAACCGGATCTGTAAAGGGCTGGAAGTGGGACTTTTTAGATATTTCTGAATTCATCCTGTGACACATTTAGAGGATGAGGAAGAAGCTACATTTCCTTTGATTCTCTCCAAATCTCAAATGTGTCTGGGACTTCCACTTGTAAAATGAGGCGCCTTGTTCCAGTAAAAAGCCTCCCGCCAACTGGATGTCACCAGTGCATCATCCAGAAGTACGTGCTCGTTGTTGGGACCTTGTTTACCTCAGAGGTTAAGAGGGAGATGATGGCGGGATGTGACAATAATCGCCCGCGAAGGAAAGTTGCCACTCGGACGTCCTGCCCCTGTTAACCCCCAGCTACAGAGGTTTACTCAGCAGGTGAGCATTGGCCACAAATAGACTCGCAGGCGGGAATTCCCGCGTGCAGGCAGACATGTGAATGCAACATGTAAAAGAGACTGAGACAAAGAAAATAATTGTTCCTAATGCAGGATTTGAAGAAGTTGGGGGATATGCTTTTTTTAATCTGTGTGAATGACGTGACTCGCTTCATTATCTTCCCGGAGAGCAACAGAAGGGTAAAGATAGCGCTGCCCTCAGAAAAATACACACACACAGGAAAATGCCATGCGACAGGTGATTGGAGTTTCCTCATTACTCTACAATGAATATGAGTCAACTGTGACCAGAAGTGCTTTTTGCTGAGCAGAACAAATAAACATTGAGTGTGGAGTTAAAAGGTTCTGAGTGCAGCTTTGGGATACCGAGTATACAAAATGGGACAAATGCCCCTTTTAAAATATATACCTTAAAAATGAAATCATTTAATACTGTAATTATTAGGTGGATACTGTGCATTTTCAAATTCTAGTTGGTACTGGCCAAAGCTTTGTAAACTTAGCACAATGTAGACTTTCAACTGAAAGCTATTAACAGCCGGAATTGTTGAGAAAATAACTAGATTTTCTGCATTGTAACGTTTAAGACCAGGAAACAACAGCTCTTATGCAAAATTAGGAAAAATATAAGACGGTATCTAGTCTCATATTGCAATATCGATATCAGGTTGATATATTGACCAGCCCTAATATCAACTTTGGAATTTTGCTTCTAATCCAAATCATTTAATTTATAAAGAGACAGTATAATTTTATTCCAAGAGTGGTATTTATATTTTCTTGTCTTTGAGAAATCAGTCCATTTTTGCATGGTGCCTTGGGAAACGATACTGTTCTTTAAAAAAACTAAACTCACAAATAAAGCCCATTCGGCCATAATATTGATGTATTTGTAATATTTACTTGTGGGTATTTTCAGAAGTAAATTTGACACACAGAACTGCATGGATTATTCATTTCTGTCATGCTGATCGACCCAACTGTGCTGCACTTGTTTCTCTTTAGTGTTTTTGTCCAATAGTAGCACTATTGGACAATGTTTTTGCTTAGTATGCACTCGCACAAAGACATGACTATTCCACTGATCGACAGTTGTTGCAGCAACATGCAATTGACAACAGTAAAGAAGAAGAATGTCAGCTAGTGAATCAAAGAAGATATGGTTCGAAATAACTAGTAACATAGGTGTAGGTGAGAAAAAAAACACTATTTGAGAATTTACAAAGAAGCAAATTCAATAAAAAAACCATCAGAAGATTTGACTTCCAATCTCTTTATAACACCATGCAGAAACTGAAACAATGTCCACCTACACTGCAACCTTTTATGATCCAAATGACAGTAACTAACATGCAATGTGACTTTGTGATATGGCTCCTCAGTACAGTGCAAACAATCACAGCAACATGTGGTGTGTGCCAGAGAGGAAAAAAGACCAAAAAAGTGTTTAAGCATCACGAAAAAGCATCGTCAGGCACTTAATAGACCTAAACATACTACACACACCAAAATCAAGGCTACAAGACCATGCATGTGATGATATTTGATGATGATATTTTACAGGTGGGATATCAAGGGAATCTGGACTAGTTTTTTTCTTAATGCTTATTTAGCAGCTTCAATCACAGTCCCACACATCGAAAAATGTCCCATCTCCAAGTGAGCCATCGCTTTTCTATTTATGCTCTTTGGTCACGCTTGCAAAAATTGTAATTGGAACAAAAAGGACACTGCTGCTCATCATGAGATCCGTAAGGGTTCAACCGGGTCTTTTCCAGAGAAAATCAAACATGACTGATCAGGATTAACCTGTGACAGTCCTCGCTGAGGAAACTGACTGTAATTTGTCTAATTTAATCATGTAATAGAGGTCAATTACAGATTCTCAACAGTATATTCCTATCTTTGGCATAAAAACATACTGATGAGAAGCCTGTCATGTTCTCAACATAATAGCTATCAGAATGCCACCTATCTTCTGACTCAGCTTCATTACTAAAGAAAGGAAAGGGGCAAAACGTTCAAAGCGCTCAACCACATCCACTGTGTGTCATGTGCAGGTTGTGATGAAAAGTTTGGTTACCTAGATAGGGGAACTTATGGAGGAGGGTGAGTTTCTCGAACAGCAAAGCTTTGTGAGGGACCTGAGTCAAGCAGGGAGCATATATTGGTGTGAGAGGTGAAAGGAAAGTTTGTCTGATACAAAACAGGATACTCCCATGTGAACGCATTGAAACGACAAAGCCGACTGAGGACACAAATTTGAATGGCGACAGAAAACAGAATAACATTTTTGAGGACATAAAAGTGCTAAAGACATAACTGAACCTTTGAGTACAACTTTGTTTAGTTTGCTAAAGGCCTAATGTGCAATAGTTTTGTTTATCGCATTTACTGCGCATGAAGATTATGCCAATAGTATGCACACGTAGTTGATTTTATGATAATGAAAATAATAAATAATAGGCCTATTTCCTGCTGTGGAAATAATTGTATCATAGTAAACAAACTTTTAAGAGCATCAGAAAACAATTAAAGTTGCTCTGATCAATATTTTTTAATGTGGGCACTCCGGAAAAATCTGGGTCATCCGACGCTGTTTTGCATTTTAGCTTCTTTTAGCTTTGTTTTGGTTTTGCCCAACAACTTCACTGTTAAACAGCAAACAGAGTTTGTGAAGAGCGAAACAATGTTTGGAAACACAACCAAATCTTACCAACTTTACCTTTAAAACAAACCAAATGTTATCGGGTGATAAGATGTCAATAATGAAACTTATGTTACTGTCAAAGTGACCATAAAGACATACATTAATGCAGCTTTGCATATCTTTACACAGCTCTTGTCTCATGTTTCAGTGTCATGTTTCTACAGGAACAATTGCTTTCCATTTGGGGATGTCCTGTCTACATTTAAGAAAAAATTGTTGTTTTCATAAAACCCTGTTTATTTTAACACTGTTGGACTGCCATGTTTTCGAGGTCCCTGAATTATGATTTCTCTGAAACTTACCACAACAACTAAGAAAACAATTCTGAACTTGTTTTTGAATTCCAATGAACTTTTTCCTATTTTAAATCCCAAATCGAGCCTTTCAGCATTAACCACACAACTTTAAACTAAACTCAGCAAAGAATTGACAGGAGACATAAAAACACTAATGCACAAAACACCAAGGGATAACCTGGTAACAAAATATTTATAGGCAAGAAGATGATCCACAACATCCAACTGTGACAATACCCTGCCATCCTGTCGCTTACAGTATTTAAAGTTTTTCACTTTGTCATCACATTACAACAACCAACGCTGAGCTTTGTGTATGCAGCCTGACACTTCCTGCCATCAGACACCACCATGAGAAAAAAGCCAAGGCAACAACAAAGAAGAGTAAAGAGAAATACTGACGAGAAACGCAGAGTAATAAAAGCAAACAGGAAGTGGAATTATGATGCCGTGTGAAGAGGGAGGATATAATGGGAGAGGCTGATATCCCTGCACCATCCCCATTAAAACATCCTATTTTCCTAGTTGTTGTTTTTTTAAAGAGAGGCACATAGAAGGATTGCAAGTTACATTTAAAGTTAAAAAGCATTTACGTGTTTGAGCCAAGAAGAACACAACAAAAACAAACACACAAGAGAAGTCTCCAAAGAATCGCTTAAGTTTTCAGACGGAAAACAGCAGTTGTAATAAATAAGAGAAACTGCAGTAAATATATCTGGGGACAAAACCCTGGATCTAAATAATACAAATAATTAATATAATATTAATAATAATGTCCAGTTCTTTTCATGTTGAACATGGAGTGGAGAGGGTTGTGATTGGCTCAGTACAGACAACAAGGAGAAAATGGGCAATATTCTCCCACAACTGACCACAATGTCAACACACACCTCACATATAAATCACTTTTAAATGTGTGAGCAAAGTAGGGCTGCATGATTTAACGGATTTCCAGAATTTCGCCACGTACAGCTAGGATCTCATTTCACTCGTATCTTAGCATTAGCGGGGGCATTAGCTGCAACAAGCTAAGTGCTGCTAGTTTTCCCTAAACTCATTTCCATTGGGGACTGTTTTACAAATGTTGTAACATGTAAAGTGTCAGAATTAATGAAGTTACTGTGTTGAGTCAAAGTTTTTTTTTTAACATATACTTGGAAAAACCGAGTGTTTCAGATATTAGCACAATTAGCAGGTGCTAATGTCTTGCTAGCATCAAAGCGCTACGACAAAATGAATGTACCTGGTATGAAAATGACACAATAATTCTGCCCCCAAAATCATAAATAACAGGAGCATAAGGTATGACGAGGCTGCAGAGGAAACATTTAAATACAATGTTACCCTCAGAATAGTGAGAGTAAATCCTTATCCCAACCTAAAAATAGATTTCACCCAAAATCGTGCAGCCCTACACACACACACACACACACACACACACACACACACACACACACACACACACACACACACACACACACACACACACACACACACACACACACACACACACACCTAAAACAGGTAGTCTTTGTAATCTAGGGAAAGCAGTTGGTGTGCAGTACCTATTTCAGGCCTTGAAGCGAAGGCCGCAAATCTGCATATATCCGACTGTCGGACTCTGCAACTCCTCTTTTCCCCCCGAGATATATTATGTACATGCAGTCAATGAAACCGATGCAACACTAGCTTTGAGTATACAAACATTTAGATTATACATAGATAGCATTATATCATTCATCTTTTTTTTTATATAATCTGCACTTCTTTTCACTAGCAAAACGACTGTATGAGAAGTAGGCGGTGCACAGGGGCATACAGATATCTTAAATGATTCCAGATTATGTGTGAGGAACCCGTCTCCCCCACCCTTCCCGTGTCAGATAATGAAGAGAGGATATAATGGGGGCAAACTCCTCTCTGTGCCGAGTCAGCGTCTCCTTCTGATGCTCCTTTCTGGAGGGAGGGGTGAGAGCAGGCTACAGGTAACAGAGGCTGCGATTGGTGCTTTTTTGTTTGTTTGTATTTCTTCTTATTAACAGATCCTCCCTTCCTTCTGTGGCCACTCAGTCTCCCAAGATGATTTTCACAAAGCTAGCCACGTCGGTTTCTTTGGCCTCATGGGAGGTGAAGAAGGGATGTTGCTGAGGAGAAAAATTACATGAATTCAGTTTGAAAAAAAATACTTTTTGTGATTATTTCCACTTATATTGTAACTGAAATGATTCGATGAAAATATAAGGGTGCTTTAGTAGGCCTGGATATCTCTGCAGCTCCACAATAATTCATTCAAAGTGGTATTTTAACACATAAGTTGTCTGAATGTTGCCCTTCCTAAATCATTAAATGCTGCAATATTATACTTTTTTTTTCATAGCCCTAATTAAGAATACATTTTAATCAGGTAAGTGTGATATGAGAACTGGCGTGTATGTACTGAAGCATCACAGCTTATTAACTCATTCACTATGTGAGGGAGGAAATATAGATCCTAGTGCACCCTCCAGTGTCTGATTAACAGTATTACATGTTGCATGCATCTGCTTAAACAGCAGAATAAAGAAAATACAACAACAAATATATAAAAAATACAACACTCACCATGAGTTCTGTGTAAGTCGGCCGCTCTTTTGAAACTTTCTTTAAGCTGGGGAGGGAAAAATGCAAGATTAACCGAATAAATGTACATTATAAACGACACCATATCCATGCATTAAAGTCATTATTTCGTCTTTTCATCCATAAAGGAACACTTTATTGTGTATCAATATTCACTCTGTGGTACCTTGAATTGTTGTACAAATGTTTGTTTTCTCATATGACTCCAAAACAATCAGAATGTCAATGGCAAGATAAGGACAGAAATATAACAAAAGAGAAATGTACAAACTCACACACAACTTGTGCACTAAAATACAAGCCTCTTTTATCCAGTGGTATGCTAACCACTTCCCAAACACATGCATTTTCACTCAAATGCTGTAAACATCTGGGCAAGCTACTATAAAAAATACTATTAATGCAGCCCCTATTTCAAAGAAAATAAATCAGTGTTTTTGGATTCTTTGTTTTACATAAAGGCATGTGAAAAACAGACTTTTATTCAGTATTTCAAGGTAACGCCAGTTAAGTAATTACTTAAAAAACTATAATTTAGGGTGGTTATACTCCTGTGGAGAAAGGAAGTTCAAATTTGCTCAAAACACTGTTGGTGTCGGGGGAAAGAAATGTGTGTAAAGCCACAAGATGAGTACCTGCATTGGAAAGTAAGGAATTACAGTTCAATAAAAACAATCACCAGGGGATTAAACCAGGCAGCAACAAACAAAATCAACGTTAATGATTATGTGTAATTTGTGTTTTCACTCTGTATTCTGTTCAACCTCCTTTTAAACTCACTGTTCTTATTTTCATTTAAAAAAAACTAAATACAGTATGGAAATTGTGTAAAAAGATGTAAGGCCAATCAGCTTCGTTCTACACACATTTCTATCTGATTTAATGAGGCTTAGTCGTACGGCAGAGTGATTCTGCCGATCAGCCTTGAGTGTAAGAAAAATGATATGAAACTGAATGTTTCCTGGCTAGACAAACTGAGAGAAAAGGTTGTACCACAGGGAGGAGAAGTCCACAAAGTCGGGGGAGAACTGTTCTGCAGGAAGCTGGGGCGAGGGTTCCTCCACCACCTGCTTCAGCTGCTGGAAGGGCGTGCCCCACGAGTCGTACGGGAAGCGCAGGATGGCGAGCTCGATCTGAAACAGAAATCCCTCTCACTGAGAACATGAGCCGTGCAAGAACAGCAGTATTCAGGTTTTTTGGTCTGAGCATGTCAGGTTTGAAGGGAACATGAGAGATCTTACTATTCATCATAGTTAGTCAGTAAAAAAAAATTCCGACAAACCCTCCAATGACCCCACCTCTATAAATGAGAAACATATAGATACAAGATAACCAAAAAGGACTTCTATTTATTTTGTAAACAGTCAAAACAAATAAATAAATGAACAAATACATTATTAAAGTGGAGATACATTATTAAAATGTATTTATAATAATAAATTACAGTGTGTAATGGTGAATTAATTCTTACATTTTTGTATTGAGTAATTGACTACAATACCAATTAATTACAATTTTGATAATCCATTAAACTTTATTAGGTAATTTATCTGTCAAAAAATAAATACTTTCTAGTTCCAGCTTCTACGTGAGGATTTCACTCTTTTTTGCAGTGTATATATTTAGCATATTTGAACATTATGATATGCTCACCTTTAACCTTTGTGTGCTGTTTGAGTCTGTGGGACCCGTTTTCAGTGTTTACTAAAAGAAAATGTATGCAATTTAATTATTTTAAACTGCTTTATTTGGGGGGTGGACCTCACATCCTCTAGGGAGTCCGGGTGCATGCATTTTTTTTTAAAT